AAATTAAAAATTTTAAAATATAGAATATTTTATTGAAATTTGGAAAATAAAAAAATATAGAAATTTATTTAAGAAGTTTAGAAGAAATATAAAAAAAAAGAATTTAAAAATATAGTAATTTAAGATATTTGAAATAAATTTTATTATTTTTATTGTATTTAAATATGTTAATATGAAAAAATATTTTTTAGGATATAATGTTTTTTATCTAATTATTTAAATATGAAGATATTTTTTGTTTGAAATTTTTCTAGGTAGTTTCTTTTCAACATACCACATTCTGCGTAATATTTATGGAGATGGCTTAAATCTATTTTCAAGTCAAAATTTAATTTTTAGGAAGTCGATTTCTAACCCCGAATCTTTATTACTTTATCTTAAATAAACAATAACTTACAAAAATTATCTAATTTAAATTTGAATTTTTTAATCTTTTACTCCTAACTAATTTTTAAATGATAAAAATGACACTACACTATAAAAATTTTAAAATCATATTTAGTGATTTTCAATAACTAAAATATACATTTCAAAAGTTTTATTTTTATTTAATTACAATTTCTTAAAATAAATTTTTATATTTCTATAATTTAAAATATTTCTTTTACAATTTTCTAAATAAAAAATTATAGTTTTGCAAACAAAATTAAATAAATACCTGTTTCTACATAAAAATATATAGTTTAAAAAATAAAATATAATTACTCCAAAAACAAAATCAAAGTTGTTTTTGGATAATAACACAGTATCTTGAGCTTGGATGATTAGTTAGCTTCAACTAATTCCTGTAGACTAAAAAATCACAACTTTTATTCTTTTAGTACATCTCATAATTCTCAATTCATTTTTATTTCTATTTTAGTTCACAAATAAATAAATTTAAGATGTAAAAACTCGGTTTTTATTTATTTTTTTGTTGATATGATTTATTGGTTTTTCAAGGTTTATCTCAGATTATTGACAAGTAGTAAAACCACAAATAAAAAATATTTTTTATGAATAGAAACATTAAGATAAATTTGATAAATATTTTTAAAATATATATATATATATAGATAATGGTGTGCCCTAGATAAACCCCAAAAGGATTTTACCATTGCAAGCAACAAAATACACATAAAAGGGTTCTCTCTCTTCACTCGCAGAACGTGCTCAAACTCGTATCGAACTCAATTTTACTGTGTCGAGAAAGAAGCAGAGGCGGAAATGCAAGGTGGCGCAGCCGACGGAGAAGCCTTGGATTTCGAGCCCGAGGACGATGACTTGATGGACGAGGACGGCGCTCCCGACGCCGACGCTTCTCCGCCTCACCCTAAGCTTAAATCAGCCATCACCGCCGCAGCTACTTCCTCTCTCACCGCTCCCAAGAAGACCAAGGGTCGCGGTTTCCGTCAGGACACCGATGCCAACCGCAACACTCGACTCTCCGGCTCCGACTTCGACTCCCTCACCACCGAGGGTGGCCCTGGACCACAGAGATGTCAGTCCCCTCTCCCTCTTAGGGTTAGGGTTTTGCTTTTTTATTTATTTAATTTAATTATTTATGTTTTGCTTGGCTTGTTCTAGCCATTGAAGGATGGATCATTCTGGTGACCGGCGTGCACGAGGAAGCGCAAGAGGATGATTTGCAAAATGCCTTTGGTGAATACGGAGAGATTAAGAACCTGCATTTGAATCTCAATCGCCGCACTGGTTTTGTCAAAGTAACTCATTGTTCCTCTTTTCTTTTCTTTGTTTCTTTCTTTGTTACTATTGATTTATTGAGTTTTGTAGTCATTATTATAATCCATTGGATACTCATACTATCTAGTCACTGTCTGGCTGTATAAAGCCTTTTGATTTTTTTATTACGGTGAAATTTAACTCTACTTTCACATAACTTCGTGACTGCTTTCGTTTCAACTAACACCTTTTTCATTGTAATTGATCTTGACACCATGACAACTATATGGATGGTTATAACCTAAGTAGAACATGATAAATGTTTGATCTGATTGGTTTTTATTGATTTTCATCTGGCATTGTGTTGTCATCGTCCTGATCGCTGATCCACTTTGGTGATTTGAGTCATTTGACTTTTGATGTGATTTTTCTTTTAGTTTGGATCCTATTTTACTTGTCATGGCTCTTGGTTTGGAATTTGTTTCACGCGGTGGATAATTACTGGCCAAAGCTGATATTTTACCGTTGAGTTGCGAGTATAAGTTCAATACCATCATGATGTCTCTACTTGGCGAGAATGTGAACGAAGAAAGATACAATTCTTCCTAACCATGTCTAAGTATTGTCATCTCTTCACCATTTCTGTTGCATTGTATCCTTGTTTACCTCTGTCCCTTCATTCAACTAGTTCATTTAATTAAAAAGACAAGTCTCTTTTTAGATTCTTTGTAAATCATAAGCACGGTTTATTGACAAGTCTCTATCCTTCTGCCCATAACTTTGCTTACCACATTTTTCTATCCTACTGGCCTGAATTTTGTTTGTCTTGGTGATTAATTAGCCCAAATCTGTTACTCTGTGGAATGCTGTTAATATGTTTCCCACTTATAGAAAAGGATTTGAAATTGGCAGTCCCTCCATTATTCTATCCTTCTACTGGCAAGAATTTTGTTTGTCTTGGTGATTAATTATTGGCCAAATCTGTTACTTAGTGGAATGCTGTTAATATGTTTCCCATTGATAG